ATTCCAAATTCTGCTGGTGAGTCCTAACTAAAATACCCCACACATATCTAAACACATCACTGCAGCACTGGTTTCTGAAAGGACAGATTTTAGAAATTAACTCTAATGATCCCAGACTTGAATCCATTTCACGGCTTTGAGCGAGGTATAACCTATTTATGGCCATCAGACTATGAAAAACATGCTCTTTTCATGTTCCCTGAAGCAGAGGTAAACAAGGGAGACAGCCACTAGTGTCAATTCTCCCCAGATTTGAAACCAGCTGCCTCCCTAGGTATGCAGAAACAGCTGATTTCATTATCAGACATTAGTTGTTTTGCTGTGTTTTATTTGCATTTTACTGATTCTTCTAAGGGAAAATCTTCAATGATTCTGAGCTGATAAACTACCCTCATTATTTTGTTTTCTTTATTTTATTTTTTTGGTTTTATGTAAACTACTGTAACTTACCTAACATACCAACATTCCTATAGAAATAAATGTTCTCCTTCTTTATTTGAGAGCTGAAAAATACGATAACGGGTTAAAATATAAATCTATTTACATTTGAGTATGAAGCTCCTAAAATAAAAACAGCATCCAATGAGCTTCCACCACAGCCTTTAATATTTTCTAGTCTGTCAGGTTTCTTTTATTTTGATTGCTCAGTATTTTTTATCTACATCCATCTTCCCATAAACACTGAACTGCATTTAACTCTATTGGAGAAAAGTGTTTGCATAGCATAATGTTGCCAAAAGCATCTCTCACTGTCAAGTTGGTGTTTTTAGAGGTATGCGCTGTATCATCCATTGTATAAGGACAAAAGGTTTGGTCTCATTTTACCACAACATCTTTTTCGACATGTTAGAGGGGTCCCTTGCGTCTGGCTGAATTCATACGGGACTTGTTTTAGCTGCTGCATAGCAATCATTTGATTTTTGCTGCTCTTCTATAAAAGCCAGATATTTGAAGAGACCTACCAAAACAGGGTGCCTGTATTTTTGGTGACCTGCCATGGATAGTGTTTGCATGTGCAAGTTAAACTTGCGTCTCACCTTACCAAAGCACCATGCTCCATATTTTTGCCTTATCTTCATCTTTCATGAAGGCCAGATTTGTAAGTAGAGCTTTAATGGTGGAATGGAAGATTCTGGTCTTGTGGTCTTTGAGACCCCTCCACACTTTGTATGTACCTCTTAATGCTAAATGCTCCTCCTTATTAGGGCTCTCTTTGACTCAGCCGTCTTTTACATCTGATGGCAATGTCTTTATAATTTTGCAGCTGCTCTAACTTCAGAACTGTAAACCTAGCCCTGCTTTAAATTCCACACGTGTATCCCTGACCAGTCAGGTTTGCTCCTTGGTTTTCATGATCCTAGGGAAAGAAAAAAAAAATCATATCATCCCAGGAAAATGTATAAAATTTTATGCTTGAAGCAGGACAAACTTTAAAACGCTCATTGAGGAAACATTTTTGCAAGGAACCTTCATCCTGTGTAATAATAATTGTTTTCAGCAGCAGCTGTCTGTAGTTTCTTTGTGTTTTCCCTTTTCCAGAGGGCAAATCTGTCAATTGGGGCTTTTTTCAGGGTTTCCCTGCTTTTCCTGAAGAAATGTTCTTTTAAAACAAGATATCCCCAGGCCTTATCCTGAGACCCAACCAGTGTCACCCGTCAAGACAGTGTTGATTGCTGGAGTTGACCAGAGGAGATTCATACACTGCTGTACTGACTCTGTAGTTTGTACATGATCAAAATGAGTTGCTCTTTTTTTAAGATTTTCTTTTGCTCTATTTTCTCTTGCGCTTGCTACAATCTTCTCCTTCCACTTCTGTCTGACCCTATAAGACACAGATCCGTTTACATACAGCTATCACATATGACGGCTGCTCACTGAAGCTGTGATTTCACGATGTAAAGGATAAATAATATCCGACAAGTTGAATGATGGATGTGAAAAGCCACATCCTCTTCTACTGAGAAGAACAATTTATTCTTTCTTTGTACCTGTGGAAATGTCTTTCTTTGATTCATCAAACTTGTTTTCCTGTGTTCCAGTTGGAAAAGTAGAAATAAATGAATAATGCAAAAGTACATTTTCTTAAGGTAGCTGAGATAATAATCAGATGATAAAAGAGAAAAATCAAATCTGCATTCCAAAACAAAATTGGGATATTGCCTCTATAATGATTAGTTATCGACCCAGTGTATTGCCTTCCTGCAATATTGAGTGTGCAATGGTGTCTCCAGGAGTCAATGAATCCTCAGAAATTATGTTTCATTGTTGCCATGGAAGTGACAGTAACTGCTGACTCCAAGTGATGGATGAAGGATTGTCAAATTACACCAAGGCATGAGCGTATATTGGGGTTATCTATGCAGTCATACATATAGACAGGAATGATGAAGCTGTGAAAGATTTTTTGGGTCAGTTTCTTTTTTCAGACGTCTCTCATTTCAGCTTGTATTTACCATTATCTACCCACAGTCAGACCAGAACTGAGACAGCAATACAATTACAGCTTATAGAGAGATTTCAGTTATCATTGTCTGGCAGACAGTAGCCAATGAAAAATTAACAATCTCTGCAGGCCTAAGGAGTCAACTTGTCCATACAGATCCATCAGTGCAAGGCAGATACCCCCACCCTTGGAGTCAAACAAACGAAGTCCTTTCTAGTGGCCCGCTGCTTGGCTCTACGAGGCTTCCTGTGCAGAATAGCAATTAACTGCAGAGATGTGCATTTACAACTTTGACATCAGGGAAGAAACACCAATGCTGAGCCTTGGCAATGAGAATGCATACTGTTCCTCCTGTAGGGAAATGTAATATTTAACAGTAAGCAACTGCTAACCTAATCATAGCATATCGCTCCTGGCAACTCCTAAGGTGTCACTGCAATGTTTCTGCCAGATTCCTATGGTGAGTCTGCTGCGCTCAGCATAGAGCAACTTAAGCTCCCTTTGCCAATGACAACAGCATTACTTTTATATTCCAGTCAAATACAGTTATAAAACACATTTTAAATAATATTGGACTTAACTTTTGCCTGTAATGCGACCACAAGACCAAAACATAGGTATTTCACTCGAACTGAACTTCTGAATCAATGTTGTGCCTTTCCAACCAAGCATTTACTGAACTTCAATATTTGTAAGAGTGACAGAAAGTGCAATGGGCAGCAAATTATAACAGTCAATCCAAGAGCTGACTCAAGCAGTCATTGTGTTAGATTGTGTAACTGCACCATGTAATACAGCTTTGAACAACAACTAATAAGCTAATAATTGCAATGGTCAAAGTATTGGGTCATGAATACAATCCAAGGCTTTCAATTTTGCAAGGTTTGAAGATTTCTTTCTAATAACATGTAGTTGGTGATTGACTAGATTAGTCCATTTAAAATTAAAATTAAATGTTCTCTAACTCTAGTCCTCTATTGAGGAAAGTATGATTCAAAGCTCTTTTTGTTTTATTTTTTGTTCTCCCCCTCTAAGTATGTGAGATGCTCTTATAAAAGCAGCTTTAAAGGCATTATACTGACCAGAACAAATGGCTTTGCAACCTTTAGAAAAGTGTCTCAATAATCATAAACTAGAGAGGAGTTTTTATTCAAAAGGGTAACCTCACAGGAAACATTTAAGAAAAAAAACCTTCTAACTAGAATGCATTTAAAAGGGGAAAAACAAAGTTATTGATTGAAACAAAACAACTGGTGGCTTAATTATGAGTAATCTTGCCACTAATACCCCGTACAACCTCTTTTTGCATAAAGGACAGTATTTAGTCCTCTACTTTAGCATTTTACAAAGTTGGCTACAACAGAGAAAGTAATATTTGCTTATTCTTATTTCCTCAATGTCTCTAGTTTTCTGCAGTTCTGGGCTTTCTTGAACTCAACCTGAAGGTTTTGCAGCAGAGTAAGGACTGTGGGAATCAGGAACATAGACACAGATTTGATCGTCATGGCTTTTGACAAATCTTATACATAGTTTAAAGACCTAGTGGTTCTCATTGCTCTTATTTTACCTTCCTTACCAGCCCACTTCCTGTGCATGGTGCAAATATCTTTAAGGGTCCAATACCTTGGGAAAATTGGGATCTCTTTTAGCTCATATATGGCAAACATGGAATCATTGATCACTACTTAAAAGTTTTTTCAAACATGCTAAAGGCCTAATAAAAAAAAATTACTAAATAAAAACAAGTAAAACAGGAAAAAATGTGGAAGCGTAGCAATAATTGTGCTTCTAGAGAATTCTGTTTCTCTGCTTTTGTCAAAATTATAAAACGGAAAGAGTAGTTCAATGAAGGATATAAAAAAGGCCACCATTACCAGTTGCTAATTATGTTGAAGCTCCTGTGATACTGGCTCTGCCTGCTTCTTTTCCCAGGTATATATTAGGATATCAGTAATTTTGTTAAAAAGAAAGACTCCTTAACATACCTTTGTTTGTTTGTTTGTTTTACCAACTGTTGACATTTCATTTGATCATTGCGATGATGTTTAAGGGACATAACAATTTTACTTAAAATTGTATAATGCAAATAATAATAATAATAACAATAGATCCTAACATCCACTTAAATTTAGGTGCTTTAGTTAGTTAAATCATATCAACTACCCCCACATAATGCTATACATTCTCTAAGCATTATTTCCAGCAATTATATATTAGCCTAAAAAAACGCATAACAAAAAGTCAAACAGTTCAGTTCTCATACTTGGCTCTAAATCGTGTTTTGTTTATTCCATTTAACTTCAACCACGTCAGTCGTGCAATTACTGTTATCACAAAAACAACTCGCTTTTTGTTTTTGTTTCCCCCGACAGTTTGTGTCCATCAACCGGAAAGCGTTCTCTTCTTGCAATGAGGGATTAAACCTGTCACACGTCAAATAAGGTCACAATGTTTTGAAATAAATAATAAAAGATCCTCTCATTCTTAGTATCCCAGGAGTAGCCTACGATGCCTCCTCCGTTAATTATTTTTTTTATCCACTAACAGAGACACCTACCCCTTTACTGGTGAACACTATTGAGCTCCGCAGCACTCCCCACTTGCTCGAACGACTTGAGAGGAACAATTCTTCTGAGACCAAGAAATAAAATAAATAATAATAAGAGAGAAAAGAAAAAGCTGCTGCGTCCCACTTGAAATCACCGCGGAGAGTCTCTCCTCTTCGCTTGTCTGCCTCTCTGCTGATTGTGTGAGCAGCGACTTACAGCCCATCCGCTTGAAGTGGAAGCTGAGCGGATAAACTGGACGTCAGCGCTGATGATGCTCCACTCTCACTCTGATATTGTTATGCGGCTTTGATTCCTTTTTCCTGCCTCCACCGGATGCTCTCCACCAATAGTGACCCACTCTTCTAATTATCTCTGCTTGAATGGACTCCCGCCCCCTTTTTTTCTCTCCCTCTCTCTCTCTCTTCATCTCTGAATTTGATTAAAACAGAGAAAGAGGGGGTGGAAGGAATGGGTTCTATATACTCTATTCTCATTTGTTCACTTTTAAACCATTTATTGTGCTGTCTCGGTTGTGCGTGAAATTAATTGCAATAGATAATTTAAAGTGTGTGTCTTCGCGGGGAGAAAGAAAAGCCACTTTCCGCTGAAACAAAACCACTTGGAGAGAGAGGAGAGTGATTTCAGCACCACGGACAGCGGGGCCCCGTCTGTCATCACAGTGCGTTCTGGTCAAATGTGATCTTCCACGCTCTGACGCTGAAAGACACATGCTCTGAGCTGTATTTCCGGCTGTAGGCACGAAAAGTAATAAGTAAAAGGGATAAACTGCAGTAGAACTGATGTGAAAAGTCCCAGTTCTGTCAGCTGAAGGACGAGGGAACTCAAGTTGAACGGCGACCTTTATATAACCTGGAGAAAGCCCACGGTACAGGCGTGGTAAAGTGCCTTGTAAAAAGCATTTACTGCATACTTGTCCCAAATTAATCACGTTTTATCTGTTAACTTTATTGTGTTTTACTAAGATTGCATGAGCTAAAACTGACGCAAAGAAATGGATAAAAAGAAAAGACATGCTGTATCTTTTTAAGGAGATGTGTAATAAGAAAAATAGCCAAAATGCATAAAAAAACTATAGAGCTTTAATTTATGGATTTCATAAATGTTTGCCCTTTATAAAAGATTGGCAGTATCTTTTAGAAGCAGCCATAGAAAGTCGTTGAGTTGACTTATTTGAGTTTTTCCACAAACTGGGGCTATCTAAAGCTTGTGGAATGATGCTCTGGTCAAGTGAGGCCAGGTGTTTTGGCCCACCTGCAAAGCGGGGATAAAAGTAAACAATACACATAGACACTATTTCAGTGTTGAAACATAACAGTGGAGGCCTCCTGCTGAATCAACACTTTCTCTCTGCAGAGACAGGGGAGATGCCCTCTGTTTATGGGATGATGAATGGGCTAAGATCAGAGCAATCTAAGAATTCTATTAAGTTCTGTTTACTTTATTTATGTTATGCCAATTTAATACACATGCAATCTCATTGCTTTTTATAGAGAGAATTCTACAAAATCAGACAGAGTAATTAAAAAGTTCTCTACCTAAAAAAAAACTAGCTATTTGCATTGAGTCATTGACTTTTTGGAATTCACTCTCCCAGGATGAGCATGAAGTGACAGTTGACATTAGCTTGCATTGTGTCATTGACTTTGCTTTAATCCCTAACACCGAGTATGCATGCAAGTTGAGATATAAACCTCCCTTTTAATAATGAGAAACTTCCATCAGAACCAGGTGACTTGTGAGCAATCATCTGCAGAAGCTGACTGGAGGTTCAAAAAGACAGACAACACAGAAAAAATGTAATATAGAAAATATTTTAACATGGAAAGACCAAGACTTAGAAAATCTGCAATTAGAAAAGTCTTATTAAATTAAATTTAATAATTTTTTTTACATGTAACACAGACAATATATTTATATCTAAGGGAAACCAGCTGACTGCATACACTCATTGACTCCCTCACATAGAGCATGCATTTGGCAGCAGTGGAGAGGAAAACTCCCTGTTAACAGGAAGAAACCTCCAGCAGAACCAGGCTCAGTGTGAGTGGCCATCTGCCAAGGCCGACTGAGGTTCAAGGAAATATAAGCGGATATACAGATATTGACATAAATGAAACAAGATAAAGATGATTGGCTCTGGAGGAGGTGCAGTCCTGACGCTGGTCTGATGAAGCTGAAAGAGGGACATTGCAGATGATTCAGGTGAAGCTGATAAGAGTGACTTTTTGCTTAAAGGAATAGTACACCCAAAACATGATTAGCCTTCATTTTCTACTTACCCCCATGCTGAACAACACCCTGGAGTACTTTTTTGATATCTCAAATGCATCTGGAGATCTGGGAGGCTTCTTGCTGTCTGCTGACATTCAAATAATGGAGGTCTATTATGCCCGAGGCAGAAAGGTCCATAAAAGTCCACAAAAAATGTGTCAATATTCCTCCATACTGCTCGTCCAATGTATTCCAAGTGTCCTGAGTGGGTAGCATCCAGAATTTACTCGAAACGAAGTCATTTAGAATGTTTTTAGAGCATAAACAGTAGTGTATAGGATTTCCTGAAAGCGCGCACCTGCGCGTTCACGACGCTACGGAAGCCGGCAGACCAAACCAGATGAAAGTGCGCATTCAGCGTCTGCTCTGCCGATAATGCAAGCGTAGAAGAAGAAATGTGCTGTTTACCTGTGCAAAGAAAGAAACAACGAAAGAAAAATGTCTGAGGACTTCAGTGTTGAGGAAGAGCATGAGTTCTTTGCCGAGCTGAATGCGCACTTTCATCTGGTTTGGTCTGCCGCGGTTTCCGTAGCGTCGTGAACGCGCTTTCAGGAAAGATTATACACTACTGTTTATGCTCTAAAAACATTCTAAATGACTTCGTTTCGAGTAAATTCTGGATGCTACCCACTCAGGACACTTGGAATACATTGGACGAGCAGTATGGAGGAATATTGACACGTTTTTTGTGGACTTTTATGGACCTTTCTGTCTCGTGCACAATAGACCTCCATTATTTGAATGTCAGCAGACAGCAAGAAGCCTCCCAGATCTCCAGATGCATTTGAGATATCAAAAAAGTACTCCAGAGTGTTGTTCAGCATGGGGGTGAGTAGAAAATGAAGGCTAATCATGTTTTGGGTGTACTATTCCTTTAAGCTTTATTTATTAAACAGTGCTTTTATTTAAAGAAGATAATGTTGAACTAACTACATTTGTGTCTTTTTCTAGGAAGAGTTGGGACAATAAGTTCTGGGCTACTTTTTGTAAAAAGATTAAAAAGATCATATACAATTTGTTACAGTAAAATCTGAGCCCAACGCTTTGTCTAGGAGAGAAACAGGACTAAAAGCTAGTTGCTATGGTGCAAAGATGTTTGCCTCAATAAATGTGAGGGCCACTCCTTTGTATATATAAATAGCAATTTCTAAGGATCCAAAAACATAAATATATGTTTATATATTCACTTCTTAGATGATGATAAACAACGTACTTAAGTTTAATGTATTACATTTCTGTAAATATCTGTAATTATTACACACTGTAGCTTTAACCACATTTTGTTGGAAAATAAAATACATCCTAATGAAAACACTGAATTGTTTAGAGAAAGATTATTTGATAACTAAATAGGCATCAATACTTAAGCGATGCGCTATGCTATAGGGGGATCAGAAATATAGACATTTTGCTCACTTACACTTTCACTGAATATATTTTACATGGTCTGTTGGATATAGCCTATTTTTTATTTTTGCCTGGGGCTTAATTTCCTGTGTTTTGCAGGAATTCTGTGGCACAGTTGCTGACTTACATAATCATACTGGACAGATGAACCCAAAAAACCTTTACGTGGGCACCAGTAATCATCCAGCTTTCTGTCGATAAAAAAATAAAATAAAAAAATGAAACAACTAGAGACTGAAACGAAAAAGGTTGATTTTATCATGGCCCTTAAAAATTGACATGTAAGAATCATATTTATATTAGTTTGGTTTCTGTTTTGTTTTTTTGTTTTTTTTCCCCATGATCCATGTACCTCGAGCTGTACTAATAACTACACATCCTTTGCACTCTAATTAGCTTTTAAAAAAAGTAAAATATATAAACAGCTAAGGTCACCTAAGTGCTTGAAAATAAAAAACAGATTGCATGTAATTGGTTTTTGGGTAATATGAAGTCTTCAAAATATTGAGAGGTTATGAAGGCTTGTACATTCCTAAATATGTCTTTTGCAAACAAAAATTGAAATTGCCCTATATTAAAAAAAGAAATCTTGTTTTTCATTTACACACAAAAATATAAGTATACTAATATATGTTACGTTATAAGGTGATTAGTGCCAATTTAGTCCTATGCCTCACTACCCCACTACCATTGAGTCCAATATGGTGGGTTTCAGATTTAAATCAGGTAAATGAATCAGAAAACTGTATGGGATTCAACAATTTGCATCAAGTATTAACTTTGTTGCAAACTTAAATTCTGACTGTGCACATACTGGCAGAGTAACAGTAAAAAAATAACTAGGTAGCAGAGCAAGAAATATCTTAAACAAGCACCATCTGCCTTAGTCAGCTGGGAGTCGAGTTCTTTTTCTGAGACAGAAAATAAAGACGGTCTTGCAGTTAATGGCAGCAATATCTACAAACGCAAACATAGAGAATAAAGACAGCAAACTGAAAAAAAACTATCTTCATGACCTACAGTTACATTTAAGCCATCAAGGCCATTTCACTTAAAAGTTTTATCAAAAAGATAACCTTTACGTCTACTCATAATAAACATCTTTTTTTTAAAACTGATTTCTACTACTTCTATCTTTCCACGGCTGGTGTCGATGCCACAGCACTTACAATGCCTTAAATACACTGTCAAAATAGTGATGTAATAAAAGAAAGAAAAGCTACTTAGACCAAAGTTATTATCTCTAGTTTAATATAAATTTGAATCTAAACCAATATTTTGGTTGGATTTGAATGATTTAGTCATTCTGTCTGTCTGTCTGTCTGTCTGTCTGTCTGTCTGTCTGTCTGTCTGTCAAATGATTTGTGCTATTTTTCAAATAGCACTGGGCCATGTGGAAATTCATGGCTCACTCAGTCAGTCAACAGGATAACTGACCATTTATATGAAAGAAGGGTAATCTGCATTTGTGATGAGAGAATAAATTTCAGGTAGAATGTTGATTAGTGATCTTTTTGGAGCTATTTTTTTTTCTTTCCATAATTGAAAGTTTTCAATAATTTCAAGAACAACAGACTCTTTTTATTCAGTCTAACATAGATCATATAAACCTGAGCCATATTAGGATACGTTAATGTTTTCT